TCTCTCTCTCTCTCTCTCTCTCTCTCTCTCTCTCTCTTTTTGAAAGAGGATAAAGAAGGGCAGCTCCCAACACAGTCCGTCTCCTTGGCATCCCCGAAGCCTTTCCCCCGTTGAGACACCCCGTCTTTTTTTTTCCCGTTGACTCACCCCTTCCTCCATCCACACCGAATCCTTCTCAACCCCTTCAACAGGTGGCGGAACTCTGCCTTTTTTTCTTTTTGTTCAATCCTGCTTACCGAGACCACTGCATTTCTCAAAATGCCATGAAAGACAACTGGCATAGTAACTTGGTTAGCATAACCAGAATAGGAATCCCAGAAGCATACAGTTTTTCTGTAGTAATAACTTGTAACTGTAACTATTGTTTGCCCCCGATTGGAGAGAGAGAGAATAAACAAAAGAAGACTGTAGAGATGGTGACGGGGGAGTCACACGATGTTTGCTGCGGAGTCTGGTCCTGTGCACGTCATTGTGAGTGTGCGAAGAAAAAGCATAATGAGTGTAGTATGTGGTAAATTGTGTGCGTGTCTTTTTCATGTCTGCTTTATGATTTGTAGGGTGATTATGAGAAGGCGGCGTCTTATTACCGCGCTTCATGCCAAGAGGTCAAGAACCCGAAAGACTTCATCCTTCCGTTCTATGGTACGTCATCCCACTTTGTTTTTTTTTTATTTGGGGTGAATCCTGTTGTTTTGTACGTATGACAAAATGTGATGTGCACCTCCATAGCCCATACCTTTTGGCATTCCAAAACTTTTTTCTGTTGCCTTTTCGTGTTCTAAGAATGTTCTAAGAATGTTCTAAGAATGTTCTAAGATGTTCTAAGAACGTTCTAAGAATGTTCAAAACATGTTCACAAGCATCTACTGCTCGATGCTTCCTTAGTTCGTGAACGAATTGTCATTGAATTTCTAATTGATCATGCGTAAGGTGGACAAAAGCATGTACTGCTTTTGTTATCCGCCAAGAAAGGCGAAGATATCCCCCAAGAAAGGGCTAAGAAATATCCCCCAAGAAAGGGCTTAAGAGATATCCCCCAAGAAAGGCAAAGATAGGTGAGTGGATGTATGTACCATCTTGCCTGGTATCAAGGAGGTGGGAAGACTGCGTTCTTGCAATGTGGGATTAGCAGCAGATACTGCCAAATGCCCAGTCAATCAGCCTGCTGCAGAAGTTTGGTGTTTTGACTGACACATATCACCTTTTTTTTTTTTTTTTTTTTTTTTTGAAGGACGATGGCCTTGAGGTACTCTCATCGGACTAACCAGCCCAGGTAAATTCAATCCTGTGTCTAATCTGACACCGGGTGGCCTTTTCAGCCCAGGGTGACCTTTATTTATTGCCTTCAGGGAAAACCCAATGGAATGGGGGACACCGGCCAGGGGACAGCCGGTAGCAGAGCATCATCTGAGTGGCAAGCCGCTGTGCCTCCCCGATTATCCCTCCCTCAATGAACATCAGCAGAGACTGATTTTTAATGTCCAGTTGGGGGGACCAACGGGCTATCTCTAGGTGGTGGGCACCAAGCACGGGCAGCAAGGTGCATGAGGCCAATGGGTTTTGATTGGGGCAAATGGTGTTTTCCGATTGGGGCAAATGATGTTTCCATGTACACAGCGAAAGACTGTTCTTTGACAGCTTGAGGTGGTAGGCAATTGCATTGGCACGGTTTCACACAGTTTTTCTCTTCTTCAGTCCTGCCTAAAATAACACAGAGAGAGAGAGAGAGAGAGAGGACAAAAGACCAGGCATGCGACACGGCAATATCAGTACACACACGGCAAAACAAGACGAGGAAAGATAGACCAAGACAAAGATGAGAGAAGACAGATGGCTTCCTCGATGCGGTTTATGGTCTTCAGAAGAATGTTTGCTGTGCTGGATGGTTCTTCATGTGACCAGAGCCTGTGAAGGGAGTTCAATCTATATCTGGATATCAGGATATTGTGGGCATTATCGTTTTGTTATCTCTTTTTCTTTTTCTGAACTTTTTCTTTGACACTAGGTCATCTTATCTGTTTAGCACTTTTTCTCTAAACGTATCCGACTTGCATTTGGCTCTAATCACGTCCAGAGCATAGTTGAAAAAGTGCTAGCGTGTGAGTATGCCCTCCTGAGTGTCGAACCCGTACTATCCGTTTCCTGTCTGAGTAATTGAACCACGCCCCCCCTCCCCCCCCCTCTCTCTCTTTTCTTTGGGGTTTGACAAGTAATGTTTGAGCGCACTTCTTCGCTATGAAGTGCAAAAAGTATCTCAAATTTTTCCTTATGCCTTCTCTCATTTGCTATGGCCTTCTTTGTTTTCTGATCGTCCTTAGTGATCACTTTGATTAGTGACTTGCTGACTCTGCTTGGCGATTCTGCATTGTGGCTTATGCAGGCCTAGGGCAGATTCACCTGAAGGTCGGGGACTTCAAGGCTGCTCTCACAAACTTTGATAAAGTCCTGGAGGCTCGCCCGGACAACCCGGAAGCTCTGAAGGTGATGGATGCGCCGACTATTCGTCAACGTCAACATCTACGAATGCCATGCACACTGAACTGTCAATTGTCCTTACTTGGGACTCGACTGGTGTTAGGAGACCACTGACATCGCTCCCCTGTCATTACTGAACATGGACCACGCATCCCAATTGGATTGTATTATGTCCTCAGATAAGTTTGGCAGGGGGGTGTGGCCTCCATCTCCTGCAGCTAGAAGCTGCATTCTGTCTCCATTGAGTGCACTGGGCAATGGTCTGAGTCAATCAGTCCGAGAGGGGTGGTTGTGTTTGCTGTGTATTTGGCAAGGTTGTTGTGGCATGACGATCGCACTGCGGGAAGTAAAGCCCCCATCGTCATGTTTCTATTATGCGTAAACAAATAAGCATGATTTGAACCCCTGATCTGTGTAGTAACAGTCTCATGCTCGTACCACTCAGCCATATCCTAGCGGTGATCATCCACCTCACAAAATTGCCTGTTAACGAAGTGGCAGTCAACCCCCTGCACATGTTCTTGCACCATGGGATATTTCGGAGCTTAAGGCTCTGACTGCATCCTCTCTTTAAGATCGACGGTCATCAGCCTCGTTGGCTCATCATCAGCCTTGTTACTTATTGGGCAATTTACAATGTCCAGCCACAGATTGTGGCTACACTAGATTGTGGCTACACTACGGTGGTTGACGTGCCTGCCTCGATGCCCGAGTGCTTTCCATGTGTGACTGCCAACTGTTCTGGCTTATAGCTGCTGCAACAGCACCTATGAGAATTTTTATGTCAGAGTGATAAGATCAGATCAAGCTGATGGGGAGAGAGGGGCGGAGGAGGGGAGGTCATGCCAGGGAATGGCGCTAGGAAAGAAAAGGATTGGATGGGCAGTGATGGCGACGTGTGGGTCCGGGTTAACCACTTGTGGGTTGGGGGGGAGAGGGGAGGGATAGGAGGTGATGATGGACTGGGAGGACCAACGAGGGGTAGAGAGGGGACTGGGAGGGGTCACGTGAAAGGAAATGTGATAGACTGACTGCCCCATGGTTGATTGCTTACAGTTAGGTCTCCAAATTGCTGTGTGCGGATCTGTCTCTTTTTCTAGGGCTCTTCGGGCTTAGAATTTTCCGATTGCTCTCTGCCATTAGCTGATGATGTGGTTCAGTCCTTCCTCTGCCCTGCGCTTCCCCCTCCCGCTTTCCTCCCCTCCTACCATCTGCCTTTGCTTATCTTCTGTAAAGGGGCACGTGTTCTTATGAGTAGAAGTTGAACGTGTATATCTTAGTTTGTGATCTTAATGTGATGTGGTGGAAGAGTTCTACGATAATGCTGATGGAGAAGTAAAGTAATGCCTATCATGCCTTGGAATATGTCAGGACTCAGAAAGGTATGCGTATCTTCTGCCCTCGTCCTTAATGGCGCAGGTTGTTGGCAGCATCTACATGCAAACAAATCGGGAAGAGATGGCTCTAGTGAACTTCAAGAAAGTCACAGAAATCGACCCAAGGGATGTAGATGTAAGTTAATTCCTTCTTTCCTTCCTTCCTTCCTTGAAACGAGAACTGAAATGCCTGCAAAATTGTGCAAATGCATTTACAGGATCTGAAATTGTTTGTTTGGAAGTCTATCCCTTCCTGTCCTTCGTTTTTTTTTTGGGGGGGGGGGAGGAGAGGGAGGGGGAAGGGAGGGGTGGCACATGGAAGGTGTGTTTCTGACCCGTCCTCCTTTTCCTTCCCCTGTTTGATGATGCTAATTAATTGCTGGTTGGATGGAATCAATGCTGGATTTTGACTTCATCCAACGAGCAATTTGGGTGATCGTTGGACTCATGCAGTGGCCCAGATCTATACCAGGCATGCATCCCTAGGCCAAGCAATGCCTGTCCTACCCCTACCCTGTGCTGCATCTCCCTCTCAACATAATTTAACTGTTTGTATTGTCTAGTAGTGCTCTCCCGACTCTGGGTTTGCTAGGGGCTACTCTTCTGCCAGTGGCTGCTGCTAGGAGCCAGTGCTGTGGGCCTTCCTTGCTCCAGGAAGTACCTCAAAGTAGGATGCCGGAAGGATCGAATGAGCTGGGTGCCTCCCTTGGTGATGCTACGAGCTTCCGAAAGGAGAGAATGCGTCGGGTGCTTCCCTTGCTCGAGTGCCTCACAGAGGAACGCTTGCCAGCCGATGCTATTCAGCCTGGTCTTTTCGTGACACCCTCCGCGACGTGCTCCTACTCTCCTGACTTGCCTCCCTACCTCTGTCGCACATTGTCTGATCTTTGTCTCGACTACTATTCACCTCCGCCTACAGGGTACAGGTGCCTCTTCTCCCGATCCTAGCTGCCCTGCTGCTGTGTGCTGCTGAACGCAATGTCAAGATTCCTTCTCACTGCCACTGTTCCTGCCCGACTTCCTTGGCTTTTTCTGACCCCCTTGGCAGCGCACTCCTAACCTCCTCTCTCCCCTCTTAGGAGTCTTCACGTCTGATGCGTACCGTCTAATCTTCTCTCAATTACTGACTCGCTCACGATGGAGTAGCATCCCATCTCTTTTCCCGACCTCCTCCCTTGACCTTGCTCTCGTCCCTGTTTTTTTCCGGCTACTCTTTCACATTCTTAAGCCTTGTCCCGTACTCTGAGCCTCGCTCTGGGACTTCCTCACCCCTCCTTCCTCTTTTCCTCTTCGTAACTTCTTTTCCCGTTTTCCCGTACTCCCCTCCCTGACCCTTCCCTAACCATTTCCCTTCCCTACTCTTCGAACCGTCTCTCCATTTACTCCCAAACTGTCTGCCCCCCATTCATCCCCACCTCCCTTGCCGACCCTGCAACTTGTGTGAACTCTGCAAATGCCCTCCTCCTCACAGAGTTTTGCCGACAGACAGGTACTTCCGCAATCCCTAAGTCTGCTCTTATGCCTGGTGAAGATCGAACCCAATGTAGTATTAGCTGAACCACTTGGCAGTGCTGCTGTGCAAGGAGATTTACAGGGATACACTGAGACCCACTTCTCTTACCGTCTTCAGCCAGATGCGCACAGTCGTTGTCACTGTATCTGGACTGACACCGCTATGATGACCGGGCGTTCTATTTTGGGTGAAGACGGTAGTTGCGGGCTCAAAGATTATGTGCTTCGCGCTGGCGTTTTTTTAGCACCGGGATTTCACGTTTAGCACCGGGATTTCACGTTTAAACGTGAAACCAGAGAAATTCCACTGCGAATCATTGACCAAACCTTAGAAGATTGCAAAAAATCAGTGTGTTATGAACTTATGATCCTGGCCAATTTCGAAGTAGAAATTCACGAGAAAGCACAATGCCGTCCAATTGCAAAAGAAATGAATGAACTTGAGAGGAGAGAGAGGTAAAGAAGAAGAAGAAGAAGAAGAAGAAGAAGAAGAAGAGCAAGAAAAAGAAAGAAAGAGAGAATGAAAGCAGAAGAAGAAGAAAAAAGAAGAAGAGGAAGAAGAAGAAGAAGAAAGAAAGAAGAAGAAGAAGATGTACACCAACAAAGACCAATGATAATTCCCTTCTTCTCGCCAACCACTCTCCTCCCCCTTTTCTTTTTCTTTCCTTCCTTCCTT